TTTTATGATTAAAAGGTCGTAATATTATGGACAATTTCAACATTTCTAGATCTCAGTGTCTCATTATCATGGAATTACAAGCTTTTTGTCACAAAAACATGTCCATTTTGGACTGGACCTCAAAGTAAATTAATTATAATGCCTACAATCCTTAAAATGCTTTTTCACACAAACATGTCCAAATCTAAAAAAAAGAGACTTACCATCATCAATAATATGTATAACGTGTACAACTTTTTCACACCTTCAGTAGGTAAAACATAAAAAATCTTATTATATTATATCGATTCGACATGACTCTTTTGCGCTAGAGCCAGAATTTGAAATTGAAATAAAAATTAAAAAAAGTCAAAATAAATTAGTAATGTTTTTTTTAAACAATATGAGTTGATATTGGCCTAAAATTTGAGCCACAAGATTTGAGCATAAAAGTCTTGAGACATGATAAAGATTGAAGATCTGAAGGAGATAAATGGAAATATTGGTATCTCAGTAGTCAAGATTCTCATACTTATTAAGGTTTAGCATTTCTCCGTTCTCTTTCTTAGGTTTCTATTTAAGAATATTTTAAGATTCTTACATATATTCTGATGTTCAATAAAATACTGTTGAAAATGGGGTGGGGATGGGGACTAGGATTGCAGTGAAAATGAAGTGTGTTGGAGAATGATGAATATACAATCAATATAAAACGTCACTTGTGAAATTTATTTTTCTTATTTCTACTAAAAAAGTCATTTTTCTAAAGTCAAAAAAATTGATCAATTGAACATAAAAATATTGAAAAACAATTTTTAAAAAATTGTTTTCGTCCGTACCGAACACACCCAAAAATTGTTTAGTTCTGATTACCTCTTTGAACTTGACATTTGGACAGCCTGTTAGAAGTGATTGCACATAGAATACCATATATGATGAGTATACCTAGCTTTCTTAATTAATTGATAAAAGTTCATAAAGAAATATTCAATAGTAGTCCAAAAAGATAGGTGAAATCTTGAGAATTTTTGAAATATTTGATACCACCATAATATCAAATAATTATGTAATGAATGATTAAATTCCTTAACAAAGCAAACCAAATTATAACATACCAAAAGATTGTCGATCCTTCTGTGTTTTTGGACGTAATAATGAGAAGCTTTAATTATTTATTTTTTCAAATCATGTTTTTTTCTGTTTCCCTTTGCCCATTAGGGGTTTGATGTCACGAATGATAATATTTTTTTTTTGGAACATATGTGTTTTTAAAAATAAATAGATTTTTTAAAATTATTATTATTATTTTATATCAGATAAATATACAAAAATGTTATCTTAAAAGTATTTATATATAATCTTTATAAACACTATTGAAGGTGGCGATGGGGTTATGGTGTTAGGTGAAGATGAGGTACATTAAAGAAAGAGAAAACATAATCAATGTGAAATTTGTTTTCCCTATTTGCATCGAAGGAAATTATTTTTCTTGTTTTCAAAAGTTATTTTTCTTAAGAAAATATTATCAATTTTTTTGACCAATTAAATATAAAAAAATTAAAATATAAAATATTTTCCACCATACCAAACACACCCAAATGAAAAAAGAGCTACTCTACTATTGACTTTCATTTCTTAGAACTATTATTACAACAAAAAAAGAAACTTTATCTTTGTGGACCTTTTATGTTTCATGATATATTCATTTTGATACCTTTCTATGTTTCTCCAAGTCCATTTAGCTTCTTCTTTTTTTCCTCCCATTTTGGAGGTATTAATTATATTGTCAATGTTATAATAAATTTCTTATATAGATTAAATCCTAGTTATAAAATTGTAACAAATTAAGGACAATGAACTTTAGTGTTCTGTTCTACACAGCAATATGTGCCACAATTTGCTCATTTGAGTGAATTTTTAAATGATAAAATTTCCATTAATTTCAACATCTTATTTTTTTTTAATATTATCTCAAGATGAAGCATTTATCCCCATTCAGTTTGATTCCCAACAATTAAGCTAACTACTACTAGTGGAAAAGCAAATTAGTGTGAGAGACAATTAGTTAGAATGAAGGGTAGCTGCACCGAGTATTCCAAGCAAGGTTTTGAGAATTAGCGTCGTATTTAATTTCAGGAGTTGTAATGTAGAAAATCTACCTTAATACAAATATTAATGACTTTTTCTATAACTTAAATTTGTGACCTATAAGCCATATAAAAGATAATTTTAGCATTGGTCGTCCAAGACTCTCCTTCATACTATTTATATTAAGGTGTAATTTAATAAAATCAAGATTTGCTTCACTCCTCAACCATGTGCAAGGAGGAGAGCTTCTTAATTAGTCAGATGTGATTATTATAAATTATTGAAGTATATAATATGATAGAATCATAGAATATATAGATGCATAAACCTTTCACAGACCCCCAAAAGGATGTCATTTTAATTGATTAATTAATACATAAAAGAATATTTTTTACTTTCCAATTAAATAATCTGCAAAAAGGTGAAGACAATAACTGGAATATCAGCAAACCCAACATATAATAACTCAAGAAAAAGAGACTTAACAGAATATAACACTTAGAACAACCTTAATCAATATTATCTTGGGAAATTAAGTATTAGAAAAAGAAAGAGTTGGATATTCAACAAATTATTCCCATTGTCTTTTTTTATCAAAAGGAGCAAAAAACCAAAAGAGAAAGACAAAAACTAAACAAAAGCAAGCATACACATGCATGAAACAAAAGAAAATTAGGACAAATTTAATTTCCTAAGTAGTTGTAGTACTCTTGATCATGTCCACACCCTAATATTCTTAGATTTATAGGTGTACAACATATAACATGTAAATACAAGAATGTTGCCCAAAAGGCAAAATAAAAGAGTCTTGAGAAAGGGGGAAAATAGGGACATTGGACCACAAAAGACCAATGGAATAAAGTGCAATATACATGGTTCATTTTTGCCAACCCCAAGTCACTTAGGGTAGGATATAAGGTGACATTTAGGGGCTCCAAGCATAATTACTTGACTCTCCCATTAAGGTAGTGTAAAAATATTACTAACTATTCGAAATTGAGTTTTTTTTTTAAATATTTACTACATAAAATACTTTTACACACATGTAATTTGTTTAAACTGATATAAAAATGACTCTGATATCATTTGTGACGGGCAGCCTGTTAGTAATATTGTCCAGTCTGAGCCTAGATCTATACGGTTTTAAAACACAACACTAATGTACTGACACTGTAAAACCTACTTATTTATATATCCAATCTCTCATGTTTTGTCGATATGCATGTGACTTCTTATCCTAAGTTGAATGTCACAACTCACATGCATAATTATAGGTAACTGTTTATAAAAGTGTGACTAGTAACTTATAAAATTAGACAAGTTATGGACGACAATACATCAAAATAGACTAATAAAGTAAAAATTCTTTTCACTATATCAAATGCATATATAAGCTCCATCCTTTGTGATTTTTGGGTATACCAAATAAAAGGTTGTCTCCTATTGTTTTTGTTTTGAATAGTGTAAACTTTTTTCGACGGGCTACTAAAAAGCAGTGTAAGTCTAGTAATTGTGTAAAATGAGTTATCAGATCATAGTACAGTATCTATCTTTTTCACTTTAATCACATAAGTTATGACTTGTCAAATTCTCTAATCTGACTATACTAATAATTGATGACAATTTTGAGGTCGTAGCATATGTTACTAGTCAATAAAGTCGTCAAAACCTTAGAGATTTAAGTTGAAATTTCAAAAGAAATAAATACTTGTGTTAGTTAGAAAGTATATAATTGAGATGTACGCAAATTTAAGCATAATTATAAAATAGAAACAAAAACTATGACATGTAGTATGTAGGACATAATTATTAGTAGTGAGTAGCTAGCTAGGCCATATTATTATTTTTCTGCTTCGTTGTTAGGTAACCATGATTTGCTAAGTAATTATTCAAATAAGTACTATTTCATGGTAAACTAAAGAAAATGCCAGACGTATAAAAGTATAACGTCTCCCACATAGACAATTATTTTTGTAATACGTAGAGAAATACAACAATTCTTACCTAAATTTTAGAATAATGAGATTATTGTTTAGGCATGCTTATCCAAAGTCAATACCAATTTTTATTTAAATTGATGACATGCAAATCTACCAAATCAATATTTTTCTAGCAATTATTAACGCTTAATTATGCTAAATAAAATTTAATTGTCGTTCGTTGATAATATCTTTATCTTCAGTTTCATGTCTTCAAATAATAAATCACTTATTAGTATAATTTTTGTTTTTTTTAAAAAAAGCTGACAATGAATTGACGATGAGTGTCATTTTGATGTAATATAAGTGAAATGTAGGGGTGATTATGGTAGAGAAAAATAGTGAAAGCGACTCCCACTATGAGCAACTCCCCTTGATGACTACAATCTCTGAATAAGCTTCTGACTTCCCATTAAGAAGAAGTAAAAAAATGAATAAAATGAAAAGTAAGAAAGTACAAACTTTGAGGTCCCCCAATTTACATGATTCCACCAAAAGCAAAAGGAGGTTGCTTTACAAATAAACTACCTCCTACCATCAACGGGAGTTGCTCGTATGGTAAGTAATCCTCACTTTTAATTTTAAAATTATGAGTTTAATTTATCAAAATGAGTAAGGGTAAAGGAGCAAAGATGAGAGCTCCGAGGAGAGAAATAAAAAATTAACAAAAAAATATATACATATTGTCTCCTCCATCATGTAGGGTGTTTGATTGAATACAAAGTTTTAAAAAATAATTAAGTGAAAAATATCATTTAAAATAAATAAACGTAATTAAATTGATTATATATGTCACATTGTCAATGAAACATCCTCCTTGTATAGAATATACAAATACAGCCCACACACACCTTCGTTTAGCAAATAGTTAAATTTTTTCTATCTTTGCTAAAATATACTCTAGTAATTATGATATGTAAATATATGGTAACTAAGTATTTTGAATTAGCGTTTTTGTTTGGGGAAAAAAGAGAATGTTAAATCTGTTTGAAGAAATTGCAAATGAAGATTCCATGTATAGTCCCAATGCACAAAACACAAAAGCCCCTGAATTTCAAAAAGACCAGAAAGCTGACAACAAAACCCCCCCACACAGTGGCAAAACTGTAGTTCCCTACTACCCCCAAGCCTGTTTCTGTCAATTAAATTCTCTCCACATTGGTTACTTTCTTTAATCATGGCCAATTTTTAGCTGCACCATTTTCTTCTTCATCTAACAAGTGATGAGCAAATACCATTGTCAGCACTGAGGAAAACACACTGAAACTAAACTTCAACCACTCAAAACCTTCATAAAAAAGCCCTTCTTTTTTCACCCAAAAACACACACTGTGACATAACATTAGTATACACCAAAGATTCTATATCCCACTCAAGAACTCTGTAAAGTTCTGATCTTTACATTTATCTACACTCAAATTTTCAATTTTTTCTTAGATTCTTTATTTGGGGTTTTCTGAAAATGGAGAAAATTGTGTTTGTTGTTAACTGTGAGCTTAAAGCTTGTGGTATTGTGTAGTTTTCTGTAAAGGTTCTTATCAGTTTTACTATCTAGAGAGAAAAGTTTTAGCTTTTCTCATTTTCCTCTCTTTTCACTTTCTTTCCTCTCTTTTGTACCATTATAATGGGTTGCAGAGTTATGATAGTAGTGAATTTGGATCCACAAAGGAAGAGAAGTGGTGGGTTGAGAACTAAACAGGCAGGGCGTGGGTCTTGCCGAGGAAGTTAGACCATTTACTTCAGAAATAGTTAAAAAAGAACTGTTTTTTCCCCTCTATTGAGACATCCATATATGTAATATTGTTTTGGTGTCTTCTGGGGATACATACATATAACACCAAAACTTGCTATGGGGTACTTGTTGAAAGAGGTATTGAAAACTCTTTGTGGAGTAAACCAGTGGTCTTATGCTGTTTTCTGGAAGATAGGTTGCCAAAACACCAAGTGAGTTTTCTAATCAATGCTTCTTTCATTTCTTCCATGTGGGTGTTGCTTTATTTTAAAAAGAAAGATTAAATGGAAGTAAAAAGATGTAATCTTTGTGTTCTGGTTTGAGTACAAAGTTAAGTGAGTTCTTGTTTTAAACACAATGGAGAAAAATGCGAGTAAAAATATTTACCTACTCTGCTGATAATTGTGTTTTCTTTGGTGAGAAAATAGAGGGCAAATGAATGTATGAACTGGAAAAGTTAAAAGTTTGACGGTCCTTTTGTTGTTCAGTGCTGCTGCAAAACTGTAAATTGAGTCTCACTGATTCTATTGTGTTCAGTTCCTTTCTTCACAGTCTCCCTTGTTTGACCAAAAGACAAAGCTTTCTTGATATGTATTATAATGCTGTGGTAATAGAGCTAAAATTGTTTATTTTATGATATGATTGGACTGATAATAGATTTATGGGATGTTGTTGTAATGTTTGTGTTTTGTAATCTGATGACTTCATTTTCAGTTTTTGGAATGTTGTCGCTGGTCCATTCTGTTTTGTCTTGAAGAATCTTTGAGGAAGTTGAAAAAAAACAGATTTGTTGTAATCTTATAGAACCCTTTCAACTGCTGTGATCTGCTTTGCACAAACATACTCATTACTGCTTTTGTCAATTTTGTTTGATTCTATATGTTCCTAGTATCAAACTTCTTGTCTCTTTTTCTTTAGTTTATTACACTTTTCCAGTAATCTTGTGATATAGGAATTCAGAGAGCTGTCGCTTTCTGTGAATGACTTTACTGATATTTTTCTATCCTTGATTAAAGTTTTTCAAGCACTGCAAATGAATTGATATTTCTCTTGTGGTTTTCCAGGATTTTAATTTGGGAAGAATCTTATTATGAAACTTCAACATTGTCTAATATTCATGGAACTTCTGGAGTTGAGAATCCAGAACTAGCTTTCCAAGATTGGAGTACTGGTTGGGTTTCTGGTGGAGTTCAAAATTCTCAGCTTCAGAATCAAGCGGGGGAGAACTTGCATTTGCTTGTAAACAAAATGATGATGGACAATCAGTTCAATCTAGTAGGAGAAGGGTATGGCCTTTTCTAAATGTAGCTTATCAATGTTTTCTATCCTAAAATTAGAGCACATAGAGTTACTTCATATGTTATATCGTAAATATTGTGTCTCAGACTAATTGGCCGGGCTGCAGTTACTGGGAACCATCAGTGGATTCTTTCGGAGGGTTTAAGTAGAAATGCTCATCCACCAGAGGTACATATTTGGATAATTCTTTCGTGCCAATGGTCAATTGTTTTCCTTTAGGATGCCATTCTACCCTGAAGTATTGTCTGTGTCAGCTAAGTTATAGTATGTTTCTACTTTCTCTATTGCATTCAAAATATGAACAATTTCCCTTTTAAAAGTTCCCTGTGTGGTTAAAGAAGTTTGTTTTACTATTCAACTGAATTTAGAAGCTCAGAAATCTCTTAAAGTTAAGACAAGCTTAGATACTGATGTTAGATCGCTTCAATTTGGTGAAACTAAGATATAATGCTGTAGTATACTACTGGGTTGATCAACTGATGTTTCGTCTTACTTCCATATTCTGTGGTTTTATTAGGTTTTGAAAGAACTTTGCCAACAATTTTCAGCTGGCATACAGGTAAAATAATCTTGATGTCATTGATATGCTAAACTGTCTCTATTTTTTGCAACTTAATTAAATTCTTTATACATCATTGTTATGCAGACAATTTCAGTTATTCCTGTTCTTCCTCATGGCGTTGTTCAATTTGGTTCATACTTGCACGTAAGTCTTTCGCTTTCTTGCCCTTTTAGAATCTTAACCCACTGTTATATTCTTGGTCAGCCTTCGAACTGATTGGGCTATCTGTTCTTAATAAATAAATCATTAGTCAATTGAAAGTGGACGTGATCAATTCCCAGTTCAAACTTCTAACGAAAAGGTCTTGTGTGCTTTAAGGTTTGGGGAGGGGGCTAGATATGGTAAGTGTTTTGTTGCCAGTTATTGTAAATATAAAGCAGTCATAAAGAAAGTAATTTGTAAAATGTGCTCAATTTTTTAGTTAGTGCTAGTCTAGATGTGCCCAGGGGTGATCATTTTGTTTGTCAATATTTTAACTGTGCTCAACTGGTTCAATTATTTGCTCAAAAGTGAAATGGTCATTTTGTTGCCTCAGATAATGGAGAATATGGGATTTGTGGAGGATGTGAAAACACTAATAAGTCAACTAGGATGTGTCCCTGGTGTTTTATTAACTGATGAGAATGCAACAAAAGAACCTGCACTAGAAACTTCCAGACCAGTTTACCTTGGGAGTTCAGTCTCAACGGAATATTGTGGGAGAGCCAAAGTAATGAACTCTGCTTCAATAATCGACAAGGGTAACTCAATTCAGACTGAGGGTTTCGTTGGTCAAACTTCTTTTTCTTTGGTTGATGCAACGTTTCAAGACTCCAATGTCACTCAAAGTTTTGCTGACTGCCATGATAACCACTTCCACAAGAAAATTTCGCCACAAGTGAAACCATGCATGTATATGAACAGTCAGCTGACAAATAATGTCATCAAAACTGAGGTAATTCCTCCAAACACCGACATATGGAAGAAGCAACAGGCTTCACAATACATTCCAAAGCCACCGTTCTGTCAGGAATCTTCTGTTGGCTCATTAACTCTAGATAGTGACAGCATAATGTTAACTGAACAACAGATCTCTGGTGAAAATAGTCTTGCAAAAAGCAATTTAACTCTACCAAATGTCTTAGGATCATCTCATGGAAGATCCCATCATGGAGTGATTTACAAGTCAATTCCACATCCCAATTTTTTCGCCGATGCCAGCAGACCACCACAGAAAATCATCTCTTGCACAGAGCATATTGGAGATGGGCTTCAAATCGGTTCGTCTGAATTGATGGCATCTTCTAAATATGATGTGAACCATGTGATCAATAATCATTCTTTGGATGGACAAGGTGCACAATATTTGTTGGATGGGAGCAAGAGAATGGTAGAAAATGATTTGTTTCAAGCACTTGGCGCTATATTAACACAGAATGAGAATCCAAGTTCAAGTGAGTGCATTCAGGATTTTTATAGTGAAAAAATTGAACACGGAGCGCGGAATCCGTTATTTGACAGCGCATATGGAGATGTGCATGTCCAATGTCAGTCTGGGGATGACTTGTTTGATGTTTTGGGTGCTGATTTTAAGAAAAGTCTTCTAAATGGCAGCTGGAACAATGAGCAGTGCAATGAACCAAACTCAAACACAAAGGATTGGATTAAAAATAGCTCGACTTCTACAATAAGTCGGGATGGTTCTTCTACCATCAACCAGGGAAACTCAGATAGTTGTATGTTCTCCATGACTGGCTTTGACCGTATTTTAGATACTATGGTATCAAATCGTTCTGCTAAGCAGAGCCTGGATGACAATGTTTCTAGCCGTACGACTATAACAAATTTGAGTAGCTCTTCTGCCCCTAATGCTTCATGCTCCTATGATCAAGTTGGGGTCTCCAGTCAAATTCAGGGAGAGCAATTTGTGTCTCCCAAGACACTTCCAAAATCAGGAGCAATGAGTTCTTCTTCATACAGATCTGAATGCTCCAAAGAAGACACAGGAATGTATTCTCAAAGTAGTTCAATTTATGGATCAACGATCAGTTCATGGGTGGAAAGTGGTTATGACACAAAGCCATCAAGCAGTGTTTCAACAGGCTATTCTAAAAAGCCAGATGAAATGAGCAAAACAAGTCGCAAAAGGCTTAAACCAGGAGAGAATCCTAGGCCAAGGCCAAAAGATCGGCAAATGATCCAAGATCGTGTGAAGGAACTTCGAGAAATTGTGCCTAATGGGGCAAAGGTGATACACATCCTTTGACACTTGGAATTCCTGTTTACTCTTTTGATATTTTTATTTTATTATTTTCCAATTTTTTAAATGAAAATTTTGCTCTTACTAATGCTTTTCCTTGACGGATCATCTGATTTCAGTGTAGCATTGATGCACTGTTCGAACGCACGATCAAACACATGCTTTTCTTGCAAAGTGTCACAAAACATGCAGACAAACTAAAACAAACTGGAGAGTCAAAGGTTAGCTCATAACCATTTAGCCTTATTCTCATGATACTGAAAAAGTTGAGTTTTCTTATTGATATACTGTGTTGAGATTTGGCACTTAAAATTATGGCTGGAGATCATGAAAAAAGAAAGTTTCCAAGTTCAAGAAAGTCAGAGAAGAATATGATAACATAATTACACTCTACATGATTTCTCAGGTTTCTAGCTACAAAGATAGCTAGTTTAAGCTATAAGTTTCGTAGTTTATAAATCATATAGGAGGCCTGAATTTCATGTGAGAATTGGTCATCACTTCTGTCCGTTTTGAACCCGCAGATCATCAGTAAGGAAGGAGGATTGCTTTTAAAGGATAATCTTGAAGGTGGAGCAACATGGGCATATGAAGTAGGCTCACAGTCTATGGTCTGCCCTATTATAGTTGAGGATCTAAATCAACCGCGTCAAATGCTTGTGGAGGTTAGTGTCTATGCATCTCAAAATAATGATCCTTTTGTTCACTCTCTAGCATATCTGACAGGACATCTATTACTGGAAAAATATGACTGATGGTTCATCTAAACTTTCTGTTCTCTGCAGATGCTTTGCGAGGAACGGGGCTTATTTTTGGAAATAGCTGACATTATAAGAGGATTGGGCTTGACTATCCTGAAGGGGGTGATGGAAACAAGGAACGACAAAATATGGGCACAATTTGCTGTAGAGGTAACCAATCAAGATTTGGATGTTACCTGCCTCTTGTACTCCCACAATTTTTGCTTGGTTGTTTATCATTTAGCATGACTTAGAATTTGCTATTTAAAAACAGGCAAACAGAGATGTCACAAGGATGGAGATATTCATCTCACTCGTTCGCCTCTTGGAGCAAACAGCAAAAGGTGGAACAGAACCTGTCAATGCTGCTGATAACAACACAGCAATGGTGCATTCATTCCACCAAGCAGCGACATTACCTGCAACTGGTAGATCATGTAGTTTGCTGTGATCAACACGTTACTACTGCTTCACCTGGTAATGTTAAGAGCAAGCGACAATTACATGCTTGCCATGACTAACATTTACACCAAAATGATACTTCTGGTGGTTCTAACGCTACTCCGTAATTTTTGTGCCCCATGAGCCAAGCTGTGTCAGAAATTCAGAATCCACTGAAGAGCATAAGCTCTACTTTAGGCCCTCATTCAAGGTGGATAGAATATTCCAATCCATCCCTGGTTGTAAACTTGTAAAATATGTAGCAATGCTATAGAATACCTTCCTGTAGGATGCTATGATTGCACAAGTTAGTTGTTTTGATTCTTTCCTTAAATGTGCTTGTTTTATGGGGTTGGTCATAAAAGGGTTGTTTGTTAGTTTAATGTATAGGAAAGTTTGAGATGATATAAGGGGTGCTGGGAGATTTTATTAGCTGATGTCTTCCTTTATTGCAATTTTTGTGTTTTTGGACTTCCAATTCTGTTTATGCTACCCAAATGACTCTTGTAATTTGTAAAGCTGTCCTTTGCCCTGTACTATTTCTGTCATTTTTGTGATTTTGCTTAGCTTACAGCGTTGAACTGACTATCGTCTCAATTGGTTGAATGACAACAGTTGAGCGACTTTTATGTTATAAAATATGGAGTAATTTTTTGAGATAATTACCATTAGTTGATTGACTTTTTGAGATAAAAAAGTTGCCTTTTATCGACATTATATACACCATAAAGGTTCTAAACTATTACTTGAGCCAAGGTTGCATATACACCACCTTTCCTAGAATCCACTTGTGAGATTATACGGAATATGTTGTTATTGAAAGGTTGTAAACAAATTATTACTGCATCATCAACTGTGCCTCTCATAATCAGGAGCGGAATTACGTGGTGTGAAGGAAATTCTGACTGAATCTTTTTTGCCTAAAAGTTTTATATCATGTAACAAAATTTCTTCACAGGGGAAGAAGTTCCATATTGTGTAACAAAATTTCTTGTGACACAACACCATATTTTTTTCCGAATCTTTTAGAAATTCTGACTTCGTCACTGGTCCTCACTCTGCTGCAACATCATGATGTACACTTTCTGTACTCGGCTGATCTGGCATTACTCTTTTCGTTTTCCAACTATTAGTTCTTATTCTCACCAGGGCGAATCGATTAGTCTTCTTGAATCTTGCTAAGGCAGCAAGTTGATCAAATGATTCCACCATCTTTACAGTATAAGAAACTGTTTCTATGAGTAATGAAGCTACTGTTGCCATAGGAATGATATCAGAAAAGTGTATTCCCTCCCATGAACTATCTGTGTGGAGCAAGGACTTGAGATTTTCAGCAGCAATTTTTGCATTGTCAATGTGGACTATAATGGTGAGTGGATATGTCATTGTCTTCATAGCCAATGCTAATTCTTTTAAAACATGACCACATTCTGTACACACTTTCATGCATGGCTCTTGAATTTTAGTTCTAGTTTCCTGTTCAATCTGCAATAATTGTAGTAGTAGATTAGTTAATTAATTAGTTAGTCATTTCATATGTTTAAGTAGGACCATATACATACAACTTGAGGAAAATGAGTGGTATTGAACTTTTGATAGTTACTTGTCTCGGAAAGTCAAAACTTATTGACATTTGAAGATTTGCCTATGAGACATAACAGGGTCAAAAGTTCAAACTCGGCCATCTTTTGTTTGTTTGATAAATATTCTTTTTGTCCCAAAATATTTTAAGATATTTTTTTTAAATCATATTGATATGAGAAAAATTGCAATTTATATCATACTGTAGTAGTTTTTCTATAGTTTTGAATACCTGAATTTTAGTTTGAAAATATTGAATAAATCTAATCTAATTTAACTGCGAAAATTAGTCAAGTTGATTCTAGAAAAACGAACGGACTACTATTTTGAGATGGAGAAATTATAATTACCTGAGTTTCATAGTTAAGATAGACATTTAGGGCATGAATTCGATAAGCACAATCTCGAGCAATGCCACCAATTTCCAAATATTGAGCCCAAGGATGACGATACCTAAACTTCCCATGCCTAGGCTCCCATTTTGCAAAATTTGCCTACAAAAACATGAATGAAAAAATTAAGGAGAAAATTACAAGTACTCGTTACGTTCTAATAAGAATTTTTTTTCAAAAAACTGTCTCAATTTATGTGACCACTCACCAGTACTTCTTCAGCGCTTTTTGAATTAAGCACACTTTTATATCCCTGCAAATCAGATGTTTTTTGTTCACTAGCTGCCCCACTTGATGTGTTTAAATATTCAGTCCCAACGTTAACAAAATTTAAGACTTATATAACTCACTGTATTTTTGGTTATTATCTAACATGAAGTATAAAAACAAAAACTATATATATACCTTCAAGGAAAGAGCCAAGTTTTTCAAAATTGGAGGAAATATGAAAATGCAAACAAGAAGGCAATGGCACATCCTATAAGAATTGTGGATACCCTTGTTTCCAACACTTGTGAAACGGACACCAATGAAAATGTCAAAATAAAAATAAGGACACAATAGTCATATCTATCTTGCCTTCAATTTTGGGAGAAATCTCAAATATGTCACTATTGCAACTGCATGTACAAAAATAGCATTAATTACAACACATAATCTAGAGAAAACTATTGAAAACACCCCTTTACTTGATTAACTAAACTTAAATACACCCCTCCATTTTTGTAACATGGTGAGTGGAATACATCCCTAGATTCTCGCCAAGTAGAGGGGTGTTTTTAAGGCTATTAATAGTTCGAAGACGAAACTAATAATTTGCCTTTTGTGTTTTCAAAATATTTTAAAGGCAAAATGGTCTGATGGACCCCTGTACTTGTACCAATTTGTATTATGGATCCTTCTACTTAGGTCTTTGTCATCTGGACCCTTATACTCAATAAAACACAATATATTAAACCCCTTTGACCATTGACCATGCTTATGTGACATTAAAATAGCTGAGTTGGCGAGAGAGTGTGACTGCACGCATTTAAGGCATCACTTTTTCTCATATTTTAAACTTTAAATTTTAAATTATTAAAATTATATAATAAAAAAATTTTAAAAAAAAATCCATCTTCTTCTCCACACCACTTTTTCTGCCGCCCCTTCCCCATCGCTGCCCAAACCTCTTCTTTTTTTCTCCACACCATAGTTATCTTCTTTAGCCCGATCTTGGCATTGGCACTTTGGTGACATCAGGTTTCATGGCGATTATCAGTGGAGGGAGAGAGTCGTGTTGGTTTCATGGCGGTGCTCGGCGATTAGCAATGGTGTGAGAGGGAGAGAGCCGACTCTGGTCCTTTTTTCGTCAGAATGGGAGGCGGCGGCCAGCGAGGGAGTTTGCAGGTACGCCGGAGAGGATGGAGAGGGGAGTTTGCAGGTCCCCATCTTCAATCTTTCACAACAATCGTCTCCTTCTAATCCTTTAAACTTGTCTTTTTCAACCCATTTCGATAACCCAAGAAAATCTCAGGCGAATTTTGGGTAGATTTCGACGAGTTTCACAGTAAAAGTTGGTGCGAAATTGTATTTGTAAGCAATTTGGGGTGTGAAAATAGTAGTCGGCGTTGGATTGCAAAAAGTTTGGCCAGATCTGGTTGTTAGGTAGCTTAGGTTGTTGTTACTGTGGAGGTTGGAGGAGGAAAGAAAAATAGTGATGGTGTGTGGCAGAGATGAAGACGGGTGAGGGAGAAAGTATATGTGATTTCGCCAGCAAAAATGGCAACGACGCCGGCGATGACTTTCTTTTGGTGGTGAAATAGTGAAAATAGGGAGAATTAGAAATGCCAATAATAATTAAAATGTTATTATTTTATATTTTATTAAATAATTTTGGTTAATAATTTTAAAAAATAGTTATGAAATAATTATGATGTGGCATTAATATATCTGACGTGGATATGACATGTCAATTATATAAAAGAGAGTGGGCTACACACATGGTTGGAGGGGCTTAAAAGTCTCATTTTAATTGAGTTTAAGGGTCTAGATGACAAATGGGTAAGTAGAAGGATTCAGAATACAAACTGATACAAGTATAAGGGTCCACCAGACCATTTCGCCTATTTTAAAAAGTACTCTCTCGATCGGTCTGAGTTGTACAACGTAACCCTTTGTCAGTATATCACGCGGTTTATTAACAAAATAAAATAAATAAATGACTACCGTATAATGCTATCTCCAAGAATGATTGAGCACCTATTTTTGAGATTTGTTTTTCAATTTTGCCATGTTAAAGATGGATGGGAACTCGACAAAAACAAAACATTTATATGAAGAAGCTCTTATCATCGATTTAATAATTTGTTTGGTCAATCTAATATTTTAAAAAGAACTCTTTCAGTTTTTTTTTACTTGTCCAATTTTTACTTTGTATTTTTTTTCTTTTTACTTGTTATTTTTTTACAAATCAAGAAAAGACAATATTTTTTACTTATTATACATTCAATTTATTTAGAATTAATGTTTTTGAAAAAGGTAGAACCACTTTAATGAGTAAATTGATTTTGGAAATTTATTAATCAATAGGAGTAAAATAGTATACTCACTATATCAATTGTTATTTTCTTGATAGGCGTGCCAAATCAAATATGATCAAGTAAATAGAAAGGATGGAGGGAGTATTTTTTTTTAAAAAAAAATACGTTATGATGAGAAACAATTTATGTTTGACCAATTAATCTAAAAAGTACTTTTGAGCAGCAATTAATTTTGATCAAGCTTTCAAAGAGTGTTCCTAAGTGTATTTTCTCAAAAAGTACTTTTGAGAAGAAACTATATGTCTTTTAGCTTATGAAAGACAGTTTTGGCTATCTCCAGAAGCACTTCCCCAAAAGTTTTGCAAACATCTCATGACTTTTTAAAAATAAACCATTTTGATCTCTAAAAAACTTGGTCAAACCGTGAATTCAACTGAACCTATATTGCTTTCAACACAAATTATGTATGGAGATGCAATAACTAATTGTTTAAAATGTGTACAATAATAAGTAAATCTAGATCTTGATATTTCTAGCTCTAATTGTTTGATCTCGGATTTTTATGAGTTAGTAAAAATCCTTCAACAAATTCTGATTTCAATTGTGTTGTATAAATCATACGTGCTCGTGTATATTCAATCTTTTTATACGATGCACCAAACATGTAAAAAACAATATACTTAGCCCCACGAACCAAACGATCCTTCCTATCTAGTACTATTTATAAATATTCATAGATGACCCACAGCGAAATAATACCTTTAGGGAAGGATGAAAAGAATCCTCGCGGGGAGTGAAACTCATGTTTTAGTGCTTATTTTAATTGGAGCGATATTTCAAGCTGGTTATTTTTATGACCGTAGTGTCCAGATCAGTTTTCACGCACCTCAACTAATTCCACTGACATATCTATTTCAAGCTAACTTTTTCATCGTGTTACAACTTACAACCATAGAAATGAGATGTTGGTTCAACTAAAAGTGCTTTTATTGAAAGAAAAAAATTTCATGGTCTAAATACTACTACAACTGAAAATATAGTAGCAGCAGCACTAATTAAAGACAGTTCATCAGTTGAAGCTCAAGAAACACTAATAAATTCCAGGTACTACCCGGTAAGGCACCTTTTCGCAATACTTTTTCCAGTATTTGCCATACCTGCAAAGGAGCAAGACATTGTCAAACTCTCACCTTCACTAGATTTTCATTAGACATGAAAGAGATCGAAACGTCCTGTTGTTTACTGATATTAGGGGGGGGGAAATGCTTACACTAAATCTTTTCATCAGTTTTAGTTCAATCTAACTTCATACCTCGAGCTGCTTATACCTCGAGCTTATCAAAACAAGTCCATCTTAAAAGTAACATCCTTTATGAGGGGTCGGACAAGGAAACCTCAGATAAAGACGTCTCTTGATGCTAGTTTTTGCCCTATGTTGCTTGGATCTTCCAAAGACGTTTTTTGGAGGATCCAAGCAACATAGATTCCGGCAAGAACTCTCTGTATCTCTCTCAGTAGCACATACAATGGACTATAATTTCGCCATTTCCTTAACTAAAAAATGAAAATGGAGTTCCGGGGAAAATAAAAAATCCCTTTGCCATCTCTGCCTACTGGAGAATGGAGATGTCTCTTTTGTTGCTTATCCTAATTTTGAAGCATTGTATTGTGCACAAGGGAGAGTGTTTAAGTTCTCAAGTTTAAAAACAATAAAAACATTTGTTTGTTTGCACACAAGGATCTTTGTGAATTAAATTGCATAAAGATCAACCTTTTGTTAAAGAATGAGAACAAAGACTGAGTTGCTTACTTTGACTTGCACCGTTCGTCATCCCTTTTGGCTCGATCCAAAAGGAGGCCCGTCAGATAGATAACATAGAAGTAGGGCATGATCTGCAAGGAGGAAAAGTTATGAAGGAGAAGAGATTGATTAGATTCTATCACCTTAAGTAGACAGCGCAAAAATGAAAGAGCGGAGGCAGAATATTTTTAAATTTCTTCTTGATATGTATAAAAATGTAAGATTCTGTCTATTTGGTGTAAGCAAATGCTTACATGGTTGAAAAGAGCTGGAACACTCCAGAAAAATGAAGCTAGTATTTCTGGAACATAATGGAAATGTCGCGATAAGCCCCACCTGCAAAATGTTTGAGGTTTATATTAATGCTGTGTCTCAAGTATACAGTACTCTCAGCATCGAGTTCTTGAGAAATAGTTAAAGAACAAATGAGAACAAAACGGTAAAGATGTTCTCTGAACTACACATTCTAGCTCATTTAGCACTCTCTGGTACAGCTTATAAAGAATAAAACTGGTGGTTCAATTGAATACAGCTTGTAAACAGGAAAATTGGTGGCGTAAAGAGAGTAACTTTTGTTCCTATAAAGTTAACAAGGTCAAAGAAAAGAACTGACCATCCAGATGTCAGGAGAAGGCTGGATTTAGTCTCGCCAGTGGTAGTAGTGTATGAGGCAACAATCTACAGGAAAATAGAAACCAAATCAGATATTATTACGAAGGGGAAAGAGAATTTCTAAAATATTTTGACTAGAAATGGAGTTTAAAATGTCAAGTCGACTAATGCATTATATTAGTGGTAGTAGAAGTAAATATAATCATGATTATCATATAAGTTGGGACAGAGGGAGTAAATCATAGATGCTATCCTCCAACCTTCGAAGGAGCCTTTCCCCAGACAAGGGCTTTGCCATTTGTTCTGCGAAACTCTTGCCTCTGTCTGTCACAATCATAGTTTATGTAAACGCAGAGAATACCAGCTACTAGAATAGAAATTGCAAGCTGCAAAAAAAGAAGAGAGTCTCAGGGCCATCACAAGCACAGAGCTAACAGACAAGGGATGGTGAAAGAAGCAAGTTCACTTACATTTTTTGTTAACGATACAGCTTGGAGAATAAAATATACTTATATTTTTAGCTTATTCAGATGTTGTATAATGCTTGTAAATTCAATGCATACTGTACTGGACATTCACATTGTAATACAAGCAGTTTCTTTCTGTAGGTTGGTATAATGCAAGAAATGTTCCACTGAAAATATCATCGTAAGCTATCCACCATCTTTAAGATCTATAATCAGTATCCAGTGGATGAAAAAGAGCAACAGATTGTTCACTGAAAACTGTTCTCACGAATGATAATCTTGGTATAGAAAGATAATAAGTCAAAACCTTAGGTACAAATGGATCAGAAGTACCATCCAGTGGACAGTGAACTAGCATCTAAATAACATATGGCAGATTCTTTGGGGAGTCAAAAGTACCTGAGGTCCAAGATTTACAGGATGTTTGACAAGGTACATGCCAGGAGAAGTGTACATACATGGAAGAAATACCAAGCAACCCCAGCATATGTAAAAACCGGCTGCCAAAACAACATCAAGATACAGAAAACATTATATCTTGCGTTCATGGTAGGGAAATAGGAAACCTACATAGCACAGAAGAGCTAAGGTAAGGCATGAAAAACGACAAACAAATACAAAGCATGTACAAACCTCTGTCATGAGCAATATCCATGGTGTTCCAGTAACCTGCTTCCCACCAAAAGAATTTCGTGACATACACCAACGTTATTATGGTATGTATAAGCATGGAATCAGAGAGACTTCCATATTCTTCATACTGCCAAATTGAAAAGCATACATTAAAAATGCTGTGAACTTTCAAACTCCAAAAGTTGGAATTGAATGTTAATCAACAGGTCCTTATATTGACAGTAACCGAATACTGTTTGGGGCTCCTAAGATGAAAGAACAAGAACAAAAGTTAAGACTGCAGAGCTATGGGACTTCCAGAATATAAACAAGAAAGTAATTTAAATAATTCCCCTCACTTTCTCCTGGATGGTGCTAGTACAGAAGAATAAAAAAAAAAAAATTTATCTTGGAGCCTACTGCAATTCAAAGTCAAATAACAGAAAACAAACAAAATTTGTTATATCTTGATAGCCTGATGAAAGAAACCAAATTACTATCCATCAACAGTGACAAGAGGGCAACAATAACGAAATTTGAAGCTCTAGAACTGCAAAATATAGGAACCTTCATTCTCACTTTCGAGCACTTCCTTAGATCATTTACCTGCTTTATACAGTAGGTAATAGGGAGGAGTCCCCAAGATATCATGCCAAATCTGCAGTTTGTGAAGACCTTGATATCAAAGTGTTTGCCAATGCGAGGATATAACTCCATCCCCTAAAAGAGTAAAAGAAATAAATCCCTAGGTTAAGATATATGAGATGACTTAAAAAGGATATTGTAAAATGCAAGTACAAGATTCAAATCAGGCCTTTCTAGTATCACCAATTTCATTTTTCATTGAGAGAAAAAAAAGGCAGAATAAAGTAGACAAGACAGTAAAGTAATTCATGGATATTTTCGACACCAAGGTGTTTGACTAATCAAAGGAAGGCAAGAAGTAGTCTTCATGTGTATTGCAAAAGATGCTTACCCAATAGTAGTCAACTATTATGTTCCCTGATGAACCGTGATCAGTGGAAGATGGTGCAACATGACCCTTGTAAATGTCAACATCATGTATCAGAGAGGTAATATGTATATAGAAAAACACATCATCACTGAGGATTCTTTTGTATGCTTACTTTTATGTATAAAAAGAGACAGAAGATTAAGCTTCCAAAATTTAGTGTAGAGAGAATCTCTCCCAGATGATCATACACGACTGTAGGATTGAATATTCCAAACCTGACAAAGAGGGAAAAGTACAAATAAGGACCAGAAGGCGATTAATTTTCTAGACTAAATTACTTGAGGAGCACAGCTGGAACAACTAATATTCAAGATGGCAGTGAATCATGCACAATCAAACAAGTAGTATCATGAATACCACACAAGAATATAAACATTTTCCTGACAAAATTATAATGATCAGCTTCATAAAATGGGAGGACAGAGAGAAAGGAGAAGCTTCACATTAATCAGACACCCAATTATAGTGAAGTTGCATAGTGCAGCAAATATACTCAAGAATTGATATTATAAGTTTTCAACTAAACAAACTAATAAGTTGGGACAATATCCAAATTTATTATGTGCTACTGTGCTAGCTCCGTTATTATCAAAAAGGAAGTCATAATACTTTCCCATGCAAAGCTGCTATTCCCCAAGAAAACCAGTATGATTTACCAAAACAGCACTCTATAGAGTCAAATTTTCAGAATTCTAGAGCAAGTAAAATGTAGACAGTATTTGAATGGAACTTCTTACCACCAAAGGCTGAGATAGGTAATTAGTGTCACTGTATATGCTGCCATGCCATTTGCCTGCCATAAGACAAAACATAAAATTTCAAAAATTTGAAGTGTATCAACTGTAAAATAATTGCAGAAAAGTCTTTTACCATGTCACGAAAACAAATAGTAGTGAAAATAAACTAGCAACAGTAACATTTGCAATTCAAGAATTCACGTTATAAAACAGACCACAGGGAAAATTTCCTGAAGAAATATCATCAATTACCTTATAGACAGGCCTGTGTCCAGTTGGAGATATCGGTCCTTGAACCCTTTTACCAGGCAACAAAAGCTGAAGTGTAGCCTCAAATAGAGCATAGCAAATTATTATTTTTCCCGCAATTGCAGTGGGTCTTGGCCAAATGTCAATTAGTCCTTGCAGGCCATTCTCCTTTAGATAATTAAATGTTTGCAATACAGATCCATCAGCATGAACATTTGTATACCACCTGCATGTAACACATCAAATTTCCAAGATTAAATCAATCACATAGATTCATGTCCTCATTAATAGACTATTCAGCGAAATGAGCAAGTAATAAGCTAAATCAGCACAGTGAAACATTAACAGACTTCACTGTCGTTTAAATCCATTTATCAACTTTGCTTTCTGCACCAACTTTACTCCTTTCACATGACTAAATGTATAGCTTTTGTTTTAAAACTGGAATCTTTATCACTTCCCAGTTTCATTATAACTCTCTTTTGTCTATGTAGTCAAACTAACAATGGTCTCTGGATCTGGAAAGAAAGCATTGAACCATACACAAAAAACTACTCTCTCCCAGTATTCACTATAGATTTCCACTTTTACTTTGTCACTTTTAACGTATCAAGAAAAGACAAAAAAAAATTCCTATTTTACCATCAACATTAATTACTTATTTCCCAAATCATTTCTCAACCTATAACACTACACATTATTCATATTAATTTTCTCAAGGAGCATGCAAAGTCCAAAGTGGACAATAACCATGGTAACAAGGGTTCAAATTACAATAGAGGCAAAAACACTAGAGTTACTTGAGGTGCATGTACGGTGGTTTGAACACCTCCATCCTTAAAAGAAGCTACCCTTTTTTACCTTGTAAGAAAAATCTCTAGCCCTATTAATGAAATTTTCCTTTCACCCAAATCATAGAAAAAGTAGAATCTTGATAAAAACCCACCAAAGAAATGAAAAGTCCAATAGAAAGTAGTACAAAAGAATCAATCTTGATAAAAACCCACAAAAGAAAAACAAAAGGTCCAATCTTGAAACACAGAGACAAGTCTAAGATATGTGAAATTGATAGATTTTGAAGTAAAGAGGATGAACTTACATAAGAATAACAAAAGGGGGTACTAAAGTGAGCAGAGCGAGCATTGAGATATAGGTGAATAAAGGAGGGTGAACCAACTGAGACTCCGCCATTGCTTCTTCCTCCCTCCCTCCTCTCTGCTCTCTGCACTTGTTCTTGTATTTTGAAAAACTCAGAGATAACTCTACCACTGCTAATTTTCTTGATTATAAATTACATACTCACACTGTACACTGAAAATCTTCCTTGTCGTATACTGCTGATGTGGTTCTCCAACTCTCCGCTGATTCTTCTATATATGAATTCGCTAATATACCACGTGAGAGAGTAGGTTGCCTGGCGTGCTGCAATCTCAATCAGTAATAAACACATGAATGAGAAAATATGTAGTTGTGTTTTAGTAGCATTAATATTTTTTACTGTTACATTATATAGTAGTATCTTGTTTGGATGCTAGTTACCTATTGTATTATGTACACGTTATTCAATTTATTTATTTGATTTTGATTTATCAAGCTTTAAAAAATAAAAAAATAGATTTTTTAAAAAAGAAAACCTAAACTATTGATATATCGGATGTACCAACATGACTTTTAAAGTTTGTTTGAATTAACTTATTTTAAGTGTTTTTAAGCTAAATTAATTTTAAAGCATTTTTGGAGTGTTTGAATAACTCAAAAAAGTGTTTATAAGCACTTAGTTTTAAGTTAACTTATAGATTATAAGTCAAAAGTTCAATCAAACAAGCTTTAAAATCTCGTGGTCTTAAATATTTCACGTAAAAAGGTAAGAATTAAAGAATCGTAAAAAGGAAAAAATGTATTTAGTATATTTTAAAAAGAATAGATTTTTCCTTTTTTTGATAATTTTTTAATTTTAACTTCTAGGTGACATGTTTAAAATCATAATTTATTTTCTTAAATTTCATGTTAAATCGAAATCAGACAAACAAATTCAAATAAAAAAATAAATAAGTAAAGTATGAACAACGTAACAAATTGGAAAAATTACTTGGATCGGTACCTTTTAATAAATAATTACTAATTTTAGCGATACTTTTTATTTATTACCATTTATAGCAATATATAACAATACTATGTTAAATCTGTAATATGTATTAAAAGTGAATTATGTATGCAATATATATGAATTATAACTGTTTTTTAAAATATATGATGCTTGTTTGGTAAGAAATTGACACATTGAATTATAAGTGTATTAAAATGTGTAATAAATGTATTGACTATCAATAAAATTTGTATTATATGTGAATAACAAATTGTTCTTTATAATATGTATTAAAATTCTATTATAAATGTATTAAAATAATCAAATGAAAAAAAAATGCTATTGCTATAAATGATAAATATTTTCTTAATATACTATATTTATTTAAGTTTCCCCAACAAATTTATGCAGATGAGCTCTGGAAAAGCCCAGCCCCAGTTTGGCGCGTCTTGGCCCAACACTGATCACATTAATTACTGTTTCACGTGGCCCAACAAGATTCTCTATTTGTGATCCATTTTATTATCAAAACGGAAAAGGGTCAAAATTGCCCTTGAATTATGTGAAATGGATCACTTATACCCTCCGTTACATTTTGAGCTCAAAAATACCCTCACTCTTATCTGTAGAGACCACAAATACCCCTCAAAAGTTAACAATCCAAATTTTTAATGACATGGCAAGCCATGTGTGACTAATCCTTCCACCTAAGCTGCCAATTAGGATTACCACTAACTTTTTAAAAAAAATCTAAATCTCCTAAAATTGTATTAATCCAACAAAAAAAACAAGAACAAAGTTAATATTATTGAGCCGTAAATTTCCCCTCATACATACAGATGATACATGTATGTTATACAAAAAATCATCCTATCAAGTTAGATATATTATATATTAGTTATTTATCAAGTGGAAATATACTTGGTTAATAGTTAAACTACGATGAAAAATAACTTTTAACGGCAATAAATATAAATATTAATAAAGAGTGATAAATATTTACGTAATTAAAAATAAAAGGTTTTTAATTAAAAATATAAATAGTTTTATGTAATTAAAAATAAAAGATTTATTTCTAATTTTAGAAGGATTTCTAATTGTTGGAAATCCTAGTTGGCAGCTTAGTTGGCAGCTTGACATGTCATTAACAATTTGAGTTGTTAACTTTTGAGGGGTATTTGTGGTCTCTAGGGATAACAACGGGGGTATTTTATCTCAAAATGTAACGGAGGGTATAAGTGGTCTATTTCGCATAGTTCAGGGGTAACCCTTTTCCGTTATCAAAATGGTCCTCTTAATCACTTATGTATAGAGGTTGGTCCATTTTTATTAAAGGCCCGATTTTTTTAGTATACCATTTAAGAACCGTATTTACACCAAAATAGCAATACTTTTTTTTCATTCATATAGAAATATTTATTTATTTTCAAAAGTAGAATTTAAATAAATAAAAAAAGATTTCCAAATCAGCCACGCTTATCACTATTCCCATATATTTCTCCAATTATTTTACCTTCCTTATTTATTCAAATTTGTTATATATTATCTTCCAATAGAGGTTTCCTACCAAAACAAAACTCCCCTTCTCTGATAAGAATAACTATCGAAAAATGAATACCTATAATTTTTCAATTCTAATTCAACACAACGGACGATGGGACTCATCAGGTAATTGTATAAAATAGTTCATATGGTGTTTTATTACGTGGTTATATATGATTTATCACAAATATCTATTTTGTACTTTTTGAGAGTTATTCGTTTGGTTTAGGTTGTCTATTTTGGTGAAATTGAATTCATCTAATTTGATTTATGTTCTGGATCCTCGAAATTTTGGTTTAATTACAATAACTACATATGATTTGGTTGTAAACTGAAGTGTCAATTTTTTTTTTATATTAAAGTTTAGGTTTCATATGATTTGGTTCGAAAGTATGTTACATTATTGTCTGTATTATAGTTATTAAGTTGGTGTATATAATATAATAATTAGAAAAAAAAGGTTCATATGTTGATTGGTGGTATCCTAATAAAATATAAAATTGAAAATTTTGGATTGGTATGTGATATGGTACATTTGATGGTATATTTGTTGCTACGAACTGACACCAAACTAATAGCCTAATGTATGTATCAATTTGAAAAATTGGATTGGTATGTGATCTGGTACATATGATGGTATATATGTTGCTACGAACTGACACCAAGCTAATATCCTGATGTATGTGTTGGTGTATTTTTGGTCCAATTTATATTGGTGTATTAGACATATGTTGTTAATGAGTATTTTTGTTATTTGCCACCAAATTTTTTTGAATTTTGACTAACAAATATTTGTAATGTCGCAGGAAAGTATCTGAATTTCAATATTGAATTAGTGATATGATGTGGACACCAATTACCAAGACTTGATTAATACTACTGCTTCTCAATTAGGTGTGGACATGATCGTTTTTTAGTTGGAACTCAAATATGTTGTGACTGATCCGTTCCCACCATTGAAGATTCATAGTTTTGAAAAATACACCAAAGAATCAACTTTAGATACACCAAAGTGTTTTATGTATATTTGAGTATATATTGGTGAATAAGACTTTGTAATAGTTAAATTGAAATTTGTATATGAATTTTTGTGGTAATTATATTAACAATATCTTCATATATTTACAGATCGTGCTAAAATGTTTATGACATATGTAGTTGTGAAAATTTTCAACATGATGAAATTCCTTATAGTCATGCAATTAGTTGCTATCGAATACAATAACAAACATGGTGAAAACTATTGTTCAGCCTATTACAGTAATAAAGATTTTCAAAATATTTATGCAATATCTATTGATATATAGATTTCAACATGATGAAATTCTTTATAGTCATGCAATTGTTGCTATCGGATACAATAGCAAACATGGTGAAAACTATTGTTCAGCCTATTACAGTAATAAAGATTTTCAAAATATTTATGCAATATCTATTGATATATAGATTTCAACATGATGAAATTCCTTATAGTCATGCAATTGTTGCTATCGGATACAATAACAAACATGGTGAAAACTATTGTTCAGCCTATTACAGTAATAAAGATTTTCAAAATATTTATGCAATATCTATTGATATATAGTAGTATATTTAAAAGGTATAAAATAGTAATAATTATTGGTATAAAATAGTATATTTATATATAGTAGTAAAATAATTATTGGTAAAATGATGGTTATATAATTGGTATGTATGTATGTTTATATATTACATGGTTGCATATTTGGTGAAACTACGATGCAGTTATAATTGTGAAAACACTATGCATACTTGATGAAACCTACATGTTTTTTACCTAGATGAAAATAATGGCAAAAATGTGAGAGAAGGCTTCCATTATTAATATGATTTGATTGAATAAAAAATTAAGAGAGAGAAAATCAATATATAGAAAAACAAAGTAACGCAAAAGAGTAAAACTGTGGTTGAAAAGGTCAAAAAAAGTAAACAATAATTATCAATCCCATAAAATTAGCACATAACCTCCCCTAAAAAATGGTAATAGATACGGATACCAAATATATTTTTAACAAATAAAAAATTAAATATTTTGTTATGTTTGTAATTAAAAACTTAGTTTTGTAAATAAAAAAGAGTATATGTATATATTGTTAACTAAAGTCTTAAATAGTATATTCTTGTAATTTTCTCTTTGGTCCTTAATGTATAGAGGTAATTATCAAGGTCTTAGAGTCCGTTTGGTACAAAGACTAATAATGCAGGGATTAGTAATATTAGAATTAGTAATGCATGAATTAATAGTGCAGAAATTAATAATGCAGGATTTATTTTTACCAAGTGTTTGGTTCATTATTTTTCATCTCATTTTGTGTTTGAATTAAAACTTTATAAAAATCTTCTTTCCAATTATACCCTTAAATTATTATGTAATTAGGTTAAGGTAAATAATTGCCGGACAATATTTTTTTTTATTGCCTTCTAACTAGATATGAGAAGAACAATTTTGTTGTTATGTTTGTTATTTTCACTTAAATTATTTGAGGATAAATAATTGTCATCTTAGTAAATTGATCACATACAAAATGACAATTTTTAATTTAAAAAAAGATAAACTATCAACTTTTAAAATTGAAAAGACAGTAAATAATAGTACTAACATTGAATAAATCATCTACATTTACACATAAAAATTGCAAGTTGTAGTTTTAATATGTGTGTAGTTTTATAAATTGTTCAAAATACAA